CAGGGGCACAGGGTTCCCCAGTCTTTCCACCCTTGAAGGCACCACCAAGGGCCTGGGGAAGTCCCCAGCCCATGTCTACTGCTCCGGGCTTTCTTCCCTGCCCCAGATCGGGGATGGAGTACTTGGAGCATCCACACTGGAACCAGGTGGGGCTCCCAGGATCTTTCAGGAGCGTGTGGCCCAGATTCATTTGCTGTGACAGATGCTGGGTGGGAGGTGCCGGGAGCCTCAGGCTATGGGGGCTGGAGCAGTTGGGGCAGACCTCCAGGAAGGGAATGGTCACGTGGGGCATCAAGTGCCCCAGATGCTCCACCCCACAGGAGTTCCTTTTCTTTCTTTTCTTCTTCCTTTCTCAGCTCACTGCAACCAACGCCTTCTGGGTTCAAGAGATTCTCCTGCCTCAGCCTCTCAAGTAGCTGGGATTACAGGCATGAGCCACCACGCCCGGCTAATTTTTGTATTTTTAGTAGAGACAGGGTTTCAACATGTTGGCCAGGCTGGTCTTGAACTCCTGACCTCAGTTGATCTGCCCGCCTCAGTCTCCCAAAATACTGGGATTACAGGCGTGAGCCACTGTGTGCAGTCCCTTTCTCTCTTTCTTGCTTCCTCCTCCCTTCTTCCTTTTCTTTCATTTTTAAAACATTTTTAAAAATTACTATAATTTTTAAATTTTATTTTTTTGCGACGGAGTCTAGCTCTGTCGCCCAGGCTGGAGTGCAGTGATGTGATCTCGGCTCACTGCAACCTCTGCCTCCCAGGTTCAAGCGATTCTGCTTCAGCCTCCTGAGTAGCTGTGATTATGGGAGCCCGCCACCACGCCCAACTAATTTTTGTATTTTTAGTAGATGGGGTTTCACTGTGTTGGCCAGGCTGGTCTCAAACTCCTGACCTTGTGATCCCCGGCCTCCCAAAGTGCTGGGATTAGAAATGTGAGCTACTACGTCCGGCCTATTATTATTATTTTTGAGACAGAGTTTCGCTCTTGTTGCCTGGGTGGGAGTGCAATGGCACGATCTTGGCTCACTGCAACCTCTGCCTCTCAGTTTCAAGCGATTCTCCTGCCCCAGCCTCTCGAGTAGCTGGGATTACAGGCGTGAGCCACCACACCTGGCTAATTTTTGTATTTTTAGTACAGACGGGTTTTCACCAGGTTGGCCAGCCTGGCCTTGAACTCCTGACCTCAAGTGATCTGCCTGCCTCAGCCTCCCAAAGTGCTGGGATTACAGGCATGAGCCACCGTGCCCAGTCTAAAATTATTTTTTTAGAGACAGGGTCTGACTCTGATGTCCAGGCTGGAGTGCAGTGGTACAATTATAGCTCATTGCTGTCTTAAACTCTTGGGCTCAAGTAATCCTCTTGCCTCAGCCTCCCAAGTAGGTGGGACCACAGGAATGTGCCACCATGCCCAGCTCATATTTTTAATTATTGAAAAAATATCCAATTTTTAAAACCACGCACAGACTCAAATGGGCACAGCACCAAATTATGACACATTAGAATCCTTCCCATGTACTCAGAGAACAGGGTTTGTGCTGAGCTTGAAATAAGGCTTCTCTTGCTGTCCCTGTCAATCAGAGACTGCAAGGTGGGCTTCAGACACAGTGCTAGCATTTGTAAACACTTATTTGTGAGAATCAGCGGTCACTTCCTCCTGTGCTACCAAAATCAAACACTGAAAGAAACTGGACATTGAGACCAACATAAGACTACAACTACCATCCCAGCCCCCAGTTCAAACATTTGTGTTCATTGCTGTTCGACTTGATGGATTGTATGCTGAGAAATAATTTGCATTTGCAAAATATATTTATGCTAACAAGATGCTCATTTTATCTTTTTAAAAATATATATTTGAGTTGCACACGAAACGTGCTTTGAAAGAATGAGCTCCAAATTTCTGGGGGACTGAGGCAGGAGGGCTGAGGGAAATGAAGAAACAGTGGTTTTCAGTGCAGGCCAAGAAAGTAGGCAGCAATGGTCAGTTCTTGAGCTGTGGAGTGCCTTCAACAAGGGTTTTTAGACACATGCATCTGGTGCCTCATCCCAGAACCTCACAGGCCTAGGGACCTGAAATGCTCCCCGTGACAAGGCAAACTTCATATCCTCACATGCTAAGATGGACTCAACTTTCAGTCTGGAATTGGGCTGGGTGTCTGTCAGTCTGCGCCACCCATATGCAGAGTATATGAGTCTGGGTTCAGTGGCAACCACTTTCGCTGCCCTCTCCTGCCCCACACCTAGTGCTCTGCCTGGCCCCTTTGCTGTGGGCGTGAAAATCTGGCACCCAGGCTGACGGGGAAAGAGCTCAGTCTGCATCTGCTGCTTTCTGTTTGATTCATCACTTTCCCCTTCACTCTGGAGCCCACGTTGGCTGTGGGGCACCTCACTGGCTCCTGGGGCCCCTCTGGGGGTTGAGGCTCTGGGCTGCATTTGGCCTCTGCAGCCTGCTCACGCCTCTCCTGGCTGGGACGTCAGAGGACTAGGTTCAAACTCCAGCATGGCCAGTTGCTGGCTGTGTGGCCTTGGGCAGGTTAAGCCTCAGTCCCTTCATCCGTACAGTGGGCCAAGGAAGGGATCCCTGATGTGCCAACAGAAAGACTTATGACAAAGTGTGTGCGGCACCTGGCACTAGTTTACATACTGCAGGTGCCCAGTACTGTTGTCAGCACTCAGGTCTAGGAGAGTGTTCTTCCCAACTCTACCTCAAGGGCTGCCTTTGGACTGTGTCCCCACATGGTCACATTTGCATCTCCAGACACTCCGATGCTGCCTCTCGGATATTCTGGAAGCATCCTATGCTGTCAAGCTCCCCGACTGTCCCCCCCCCAGCACCCCAGTCTCCAACTCAGGTGGCCCCATTTCCCCCACGTCCCTATCAGAGCCCTGGGCCCATTGTGGTCCTGGCCATCCCACATCCAACCCCTCAGCAATGGCTGTGAGTCAGTTCTGTTCCAGAGTATCTGATGCCACTGCTACAGACCCCAGCCGCCTCCAGACCCTGGACAGTTGCAGCCTCCTGCCCCAGTCCCTTTTTCCTGGAAGCCAGAAAAAGCAGCCTCAATGCCTCTCTAACTCTGTAACTCAGCTCAAAAACCTCTTTAGGGTCCTGGTCCCCAGAAATGCATTCAGAGCTCAGCCAAGAGCACCCCCCAGCACCAGCTTACCCCTACACATCCCTACCCGTGTGTCTGCAGAACTCCAGGCCTTTGTCCAGACTGTCCCTATGGCCTGGTATATTCCTGTCCTATCCGCCCCTCTCAAGCCTGGTGTGATGACTAAGGCGTCCAGCTCCAGGTCACTCAGCCTGTGCCAGAATCACATCTCAGACAGCATACAAGCAAGTTTCTTAGACCCTGTGTTTGTTTCCTCGTCGGTATAACGAGAGGGTTCACAGCCTCCATCTCTCAGGATGTCATGAAGGTTGAGTAAGATAATCCTGGAAGTACTTGGCGCAGGATGCACCATATTCTATAGGACCCTCCACTTGGTATCATCTCCCTGGTGCCTGACACATAGCAGGTCTTGAGAGACTGAGGCCTTGGCCCTATACTTCAGGAGATGCACCCAGGTGCAGCTGCAGGTCTTCTAGAAAGCCCTCTAGGGACAGCCCTGGAAACCCTTGCTCCTGCTCCAAGGGTCCACAAGCCCAGGTGACTTCTGCACTAAGCTCTGTAGGGGACAGCCCAGGACCTAGTTATGCTGGCCTCAGTGTCTCTGATAGTCAAATGGGCACCAATGGCAGCCTCATCCTCCCTTCCAGTCTAGCTATGCAACCTGACCCGTAACTGCATCCTGCTGAGCCTTGATGTCCTCAACTTTGTAATGTGGGGACAATTAAAAACCCCATGTGCCAGCCCTGGCAACATCAAGAGACCCTGTTTCTACAAAAAAAATAAAAATTAAAAAATTAAAATGAGCCAGGCAGGGTGGTTCGCACCTGTAGTCCTAGTTTGCTTTGCTTGGTCATGTAGCTCAGCCTCACGCTGACTTCCAGGAACAGCAGAGGGACTTGGCCGCCTCTCCAGGCAGGCAGGCCTGTTCCTGGAAAGCAAGGCAGGGTGGGGGGTCTTCGGGTGGCAAAGGAAAGACTGACAGTTGGAGCCAGAGAAGAGACCTGGGATTGTGCCCCAACTCTGCTCCTGTCCTGCTAAGCCTGAATTTTCTCATCTGTAGCGCAGGGATCTCTGTGTTTCAGGCACCAACAATCTGCTCCCTGGGCTCAGTAGGGGATATCTGATCCCACCATTTCCCCAGCCACATGCCCCAGAAGAGGGCTGCAGACCTAGTACAAGACAGAGCAAAAAGGTGACATCCTCTGCTCTGAGAGTTAGAGTGTCTGAGGAAGACTCCAGACCCTGGGAAGGGGGCCACTTAGCCAGGCCTGCCTACCATGGAGCATAGTTACTCTGAGCTGTCACACTCTCCCCCTTTAGGCATAGCTGGGGCAGGTGGAGGTCAGCCCAGTTCAGGGCTTTCAGTGAGGCTGAGGTAGGCTTCCTTGCCTTTCCCACTCTGTGAGCTGTAAACTTGGCCTTTCCTGACCATTTTCCTGCAGGACTGTTGTATGTGTGAGAGGTAGTCTTTGGAAGAAAAGGGGCCCCTAGAATTTGAAGCTTCTGATTCCTGGTTATGAGGCCAATGATCCCAAAGGTCCTTCCAGACACCTCAGGAGGGCCCTGGGAGGGAAGAGGCTGGGGGTTGTACAGTCAGTTCCCTCAGAGGGGAAGGCGCCCACTCATTCCGCAAGCGGGGGATATCCTGCTCTCCTCCCACAGCTACCAGAGTTTCTGATGGGACCCAGATCTGTCCGCACACCCAGGGGCTACAGTTGGCCTAATGTGGCTCTTACTTGCCCATAAACCTGGCCCAGAGGGCTTTATGGGCCTGAATCCCTGGGTTTAGTAGCTACAAGGACAGCCATATGAGCACCACCTAATTAACTTAATTAACTAACCACAGACCCTTGGAAGCAATGGCAGATGAGAGCACCACACTGGGAGTCAGTAGTCAAGTGCTGTGTTACTTTAAGTAAGCCCCATCCCTCTCTGGGAAAAAAAGATCAGGGATTGAACATAAGTCTTGCCAAGATCCACCCCTTCCAGTATAAACAGGCCCTCCTGGCTTCATCCAAAGTGTATCCAGGTGATTTGGGGCCAAGCTGACCCTTGAACCCAGGCGTCCATGCTCTCTGTCCCCTAGCTTCTCAGCTCTGAAACCCAGCATGAGGCCCATGTCTGGCTTCCCAGTAGTTCTCCATATGGCTCCTGGGTTAGGACTGGCCTCAGGAGCCCTAAGCCTTGGCCAGGTGGGATAGTGTCTCCAGAGTCCCTTAGTACCCCTGGAGAGGGAGGTCCTAGTCCCAGCCTGGACAGGGACAGGGCTGAGGGCACCAGTTGGCCACTTCAGTTTTAGGGACCAGGAGGTTGAGAACCCCAGGGATAGCCCCATTTCACCATAGGAACAGAATGGTGACACAGCTCTGCTCAGGCCTATGGCTTACATGGAGGGGCCAGGCCCATTACCTCAAAGTCAGGGGCTGCTGTGCTCATTTCACAGATGCAGTACCTGCAACCCAGAGAGTATAGGGCCCCTGCTCATCCTCACACACCCAAGGGGTCCTGGGCCAGTCATATTAACTCCACAGGAAAGCAGGAACAGGCTTGGCCCCAGTCTCTGAGGTCCTCTCTGGACCCAGTCTCTGGAGATGGGTCATGGAGGCCAGCCTTGCACTCTCTCCCCACATCCCAGTACCATTCCTCACCCACTCCCTTCTGGGACCCATGCTGGTCAGTCTTCCAGTCTTCTCACTCTGGGAAAGGGCCACCTCTCTCCAAATAAGAGTAAAAAATGGGGAGCCTGGGCAGTTTAGGTCTGAAGGTTGAGGAAGAGTTCCCCGGGCCATATCACCTATCTGAAGAGAGATGATTAAGGCAATTTATCATGACTCAAAATTCTTCCAGCCTCTGCCCATTTCCACATTGCAATTCCAAAGCCACTTCAGTCAGTAGGCATGTGTTACAGCAGCACTAATTTGGGCACCACAATCTGTATTCATTTCCCATGGCTGCTGTAACAAATTATCACACATTTAGTGGCTGAAAACAACACAAACCTATGATCTTACTATTCTGGAGGTCAGCAATCTGAAATCAGTTTCACAGGGCTTAACATCAAGGTGTTGGCAGGACTGCATTCTTCTTGAGGCCCCAGGGAAGAAAAGGCTGTCTGCATTCCTTGGCTCATGGCTCTTCCTCCAGCAATTGCATCACTCTGACCTCTGCTTCCATTGTTACATACATTTTCTTCCATCACTCTGACACTCCTGCCTCCTTTACAGAGGCCCTTGTGATTATACTCAGTTTACCTGAAAAATCCAGGATACTCTTTCCATCTCAAGATCTTTAATCACATCTGCAAAGTCCATTTTGCTATGTGAAGGTAATATAGTCACATGTTAAGGATTAGGTGATTAAGACACTGCGATTTTGGGGGGTCACTGTTCAGCCTACCAAAGCAGTGGTAGAGTTGCTTTGACAGTCCCAAATCCAGTTCAGGGGGCTTGTCCAAGGTAGAAAGTCATGAGGGGGAGATCAGGTCTCTGCCCTAGCCAGGACTCTGGCTGGGGGCTGGCTGAAGCCAAGAGCTCCAGGAAACCTGGCGCCTGCTCCTACTGCCGCCAAGGACAGCCTGTTCTCCTGGCATGGCTGTCGCACAGGGATCAGGTGCACTTGAGCATTCGAAGTGGCCACCGCTCAACTTGAATGGCTGCCTGGGTCTGGCAGAAGGCCAGGTCCTCATGGCTTCCTCTCCCTAATGACCGGAATACATGGGCCGCCAGGTCAGATGTGGGCCACATGGGAAGTCCCAGCTCTATTCTAGAAAATGCATGTACCATCAGCTTACCGGTAGACATTTACTGAATCTGGGTATGCCAGATCCACAGGGGGCCCCAGAGATGAGGGGGATAAGAAGGTTTCTGAAGGCATGGTACAGAAGGTCATTGGTGCCAGCAGAGGTATGAGCTAGGGGAGGCAGGGAGAGCACAGAGCAGTTGTCCTAAAGGAAGCAGCATTTGTGTTGGAGCTTGAAGAAGTGGATTGTTTGCACTGCCTGGGCAGAGGGAAGGTGTGTGTTCAGGGCATCAACAGTGCTGCACAAAGGCTGAAGCCCAGGGCAGTAGAGAAAAGAATCCACTAAGAAGGAGCCAATGAAGAGAGAAAAGAATCGAAGGTGGATAGGGAAAGACATGCTGTCCCGCAGAGGTTAAAGGGGTTCCCACCTCAAGCCAGCAGTTCTCAAACCTTGTCAGCAGTGGAACCCTTTGTTCTGATGGCAGCCTACTCAGAGCACTAATGGGGCCTTGGGAGGGACCCCAGGGCTTTTCCCACAGTTGTCCTCCACCATCTCTTCAGAACTGGATTCCATAGGACACAAGAGAACACACTTAAGTCATGGGGAGCCAGCTAAGTATTTGGGGCAGGGATTGGGAGCAGCCAATGGCCCAGGGCCCAGGTGGGGGTAAAGGAGCCAAAAATAGTAGATTTCTTGCATTTACAGGGTTGGAGGCATATTTCAATAAGGCAGCTGGATGAGCCCCATGGAGAAACCCATTGACAACTGGGAAAAGCATCCAACTGTGAGATAAGGCCTCAGTTTCCCCAACTATCAGAAGAGGAGATAGAATTACTTTCCCAGAGTACATCAAACAGGGACTCCTACACTCCTGTCTGTGCTCTGGGCTCTGGCTGAAGGAGGCTGCATGGGCAGTAGGCACATCTCTCAAGACCTCAGGGGCCTGCACAGCCTGGACTCCACCATCAGCTCCATGTCCTCCTCCCATTCTGCCTGCAAGTGCTCCTTGACGTATGCTGGTGGTGATGGGGAGGTAGTTCGAGTCTCTGGCTTTGGCCTCAGGAGCAAGGGAGGGGATAGGGCAGGTGAGCCTGGCTTTCCCTGAGCTGAAGCCACTGGCTGCCCTGGCCTGGGCCTCAAGGCACTGGGGCCATAGTGAGGGGCTGAGGGGAGATGTGGGCTGCCAGGCTACCAGCCTGCTGGCTCCATCTCTAGACAACAATGAGGAGTCAAGAGCCCAAGACTGAAACTCCTGCCTACCCTTCTTTCCAGACTGCCTTGTATCCCTGCCTGCCTTATGTTGGTCCCAAGCATCAGATGGATGCCTGAGAGCACCAGGTCCTTCCTCCCTGTGTCTGCCCTCTGGGGAAGGCAAGAAAAAATGCCACAATGTGCCAAGCCAGGCACCTTCCATGGGCTCTTCACACGCATCCTATGAAATAAAGCATTTAGTCACATTTCTCAGTCTTAGAAGCCAAGGCTGAGTGAGGTGAAGTCATCTGCCCAAGGTCACATTGTGGTGAGGGGCAGATTCTGGGATTGAAATCCAGGCTGGTGTGGCTACAACATCAGGGCTCAATGTCCAGGGCCCAATCAAGCCAGTGGCTGCAGGCTTGAGGCCCCACCTGCCAGTCCTCTTGGCTTGGATCTTTTCCTCAGCAGAGTCAAGCTGCACATTTTTCTGGGCAGAAAGTTGTCCCTGAGGGCCGCTCCTGCTTGTGGCCCCAGCTGCCCCAACACTGTCACTCTCCAACACTGCACTCTCTTCTGGTGCAACATCCACAAGCTCGCCAAGGCCCTTCCTCAGGAATGGGCCTGAGGCCAGGAGGGTGAGACCATCAGGGAAGCCAGGACTGGCTGAGGGGTGGGGGATGACAGACTGCACTAAGGTCACGGCAACTACCCTGAGATGCTGCTGAAGATAGCAAGAGCCAAAGGGCACAGGGAGGAAGACAGAAAGGGCAACACTGGTGAGGACCTTAGCAGGCAAAGGTCTGTGAGCACAGGGAACTCAGGGAGTGGGGAGCCTCGCCCTGGTTGTGCACCCCTTTGCCTCCCAACCCAAGTTCCTTCTGGAGCAGCCTCCTCAAAGGAAGCCAGGGGCAGCTCAAGGTTCATGCAGCTGGGGCTGGGCATGGGGCAGGCCACTGGGGCGCTGGGAGCTGTAGCGTGACCTCTGCCAAATGCATCCTCCAGCCATAGTGCAGGGCGACACTTAGGCTGGGTGTGACTCCAGCAATATAGGCTCCCCAAAGGGACGGATCTAACTTACTATCTCCACTTGGCCACTATCATGGGACCTCAGGCAGTTCACACCTTCTCTTGTTCTCTCTGCCTGGAGAATGGACATTCAGATGCCAGCATGCACATTCCACTTGGCTAAGAGGAAAGAGGCTGCCACTTGGCGTTGACCTTGGACTCAGAAGAGCCAGCTTCTCATAGGGAAAGGAGCTGCCCAAGGTCCCACTGCAGGACACAGCCTTGGAACTCAGCTCTCCTGGCTGCAGCAGAGGATGCTGCCCATTGGACCACACTGCCCATCAGACCATACTGCCAGGCCCTGGGAAGTGCTGGAGTGGCAGGGGGCAGTCTAGTGGAATGAGCCAGCCTGGTTTGCCATGTTCCTTAGGACCCACCCTGAAGCAGGCTCACACCACCAGTACTCACCAACCTAGAGATTTCCTGTCACTGTTGATAGGAAGGCTGGATCTGCAAGCCTCCTGGTGGCCATGAGTCTGCACAGACCAGAGCTGGGGTGGAGGCCACAATCCTGTGCCCAGTATCTCAGTTTCTCACTCTCCCCAGCCCTAACCAGGTACACATGGGTTATTTGAAACCCCAGGGGGTCAACTCAGGAGGGATGTTTTAGTTAAAAGCTATGGGGATAAAAAGGAAACACCCCTCACTGGCTCAAGCCTTCCGTTAAATGAATGTGGATGTGCGACCCAGGAACTGTGCAGCAAGGACCTCCAGGCCCTCCCCTCCAGAAAGCAGGCAGTCATCCTTGAGCCGAAATGCAGATGAGCTTCCTGTGCTTGAGCCAGGCTTGGCCAGGGAAGTGTGTTCGCATGCACCCAGGGCAGTGGAGGACTGATTCAGTCCCTGGGAGTGAGCTGCTCTACACCAGGCCCCATGGTATCCAAGGCCAGGAGTGAGGACTCACGTGCCTTCCTCCACGCTGCACCCGCACACCCCTACCAAGCAGGGGACTGATGGCCAGCCCTGCTGGGGCAGAAGGAAACTCTCGCCCTGGCGCTACCTGGGAGTAAGGGATCAGGGGACCTGCAAGTCATGGAACAAATCATTAGGTCACCATTTGTTAGTCTCTCAATACTTTACTGGCCATATCCCCCAATACTCCCACATCTATTTCACCAACACACAGCCCTCGGCCACCCTGATGTGATGGAGCCAGACTGAGAACTTGGGTCTACCCAGGTGTCGTAGAAATATCCTAGAAATGCAGAGCATGGGGAAATCACAGAACCTTGGGAAATGCCATAAGCACTTGGGTTCTGGAAAGTGCCATCCACCTCCCTCCGGTCAGGCTGGCGCCACTGACAAGGCATCCACAGGGCAGCCACACTATGGCCTAGACCTCTGGATATGCAGGAACCGGGGCCTGAGGAGACAGGGATAGGGGCTGGTTACCACCTGGGCCTCGGGGAATGAGCAGGGAGTGGGAACAGCACACTCTCCTGACAGCCACGGCTGAGGATGGCCCCAGTGGAAAGACCAGCATGCTACAGGGCTAAAGAGGGGTAGGAGCTCACCTCCCACAGAAGTCCTTGCGCACAGCCACAAGATTAAGGTACAGTTCAGGCCGGCTCTGAAGCCAGCTGCTGACAAGCTCCGGGTGCCTTGGGTCCACTTCTAAGAAGATACTACTACATGGGGGAGAAATGGGTAGGCTCAGTAGGACAGGTCTGGGGCCTGCCCTTCTGGGCTGCTTGGGCTGGTGAGGTGAGGGTCCTGTGCTCATCTCTGCCAGGGCCTGCCCAGTACACATTAGGAGCAGTGGAGGCTGCTGGGGACAGACCTAGGAGACCCATCCCATTCATACCCAGAGTCCTTCAGGAGCTGGGGTGCCAGGGCCAGGATGTGGGTAATGATGTCCATGCCCTCCTCCCCACCGTCCAGGGCCGCAGGGTCTTCATAGCTGAAAGGGAAAGCAGTGGGAGGTGACAGTCTGAGGAAGGGGTATCTGAAATGCATGGAGGGTATGGGCAGGACCTCCACAAATGGGGCCCTGTGGAACTTACACTCTAGACTGAAGGGCAAATCTGAGGACCCAGAGAAGGAGGGCCCCAAATGGGTGGCAGCTCCTCTTCCCTTCCTCTCATGGGCAGCACCCTGCCAGGCAGTGCCAGGCGTGCTTGCTGAATCCCACTGGCTGATGGCCTCTCCTGATGGACTGACTCATGTCAGGGCATGAATGTCTCCCCACAAGGCTGCTCCTCTTCTTGGTTTGGGAGATCTGGGGCTAGTCCTGACCACTCCTGAGAGCCCAGAAAGGGAGAGCCAACACCCCAACCCCATCCAACATGACTGCTGCCCCATCCAGGACTCCTGGGCTGCCCCTGGTTCTCAGCCCCTGTGTAAGAGCAGGATCGCCTGGTGCAAAGCTAGCCTGGGGCCAAGTTTTAGTCCCAGCTTTCCCACTGAGCCCCCATGTGACCACAGACAAGACACCTTCCCTTTCTGGGCCTCAGTATTCTATAAAATGATGTGCCCATCTACATAGCACCCCCTATGAGTCCTCCACTGTGTTTGATGCTTTCAAGTCGTCACTGAGTCCTCCCATGGCCCTGCAGAGCACTACCTCTCTTTTTTCAGAGGCAGGAAACAGGCCCAGAGAGGTTCGGTGGCTGTTCAGTAGTCTTAAGTAGGGAGGCAGATGCTGAATCTAGGTAGGATTGTGGGCTCTCCAGTGTGTCCACGTAACACCACTGCCTGTTTCAGCACCAACTCCCCTGTCCCTCTAGATGACGTGGTCCTCGATAGAGGGCAGACTAATCCCATTAGGCCTTTCCAGGCCTGGCCTCCCTGGCCCACCCTGCTTGGCACCTGCGGATCTCGGGGGCCAGCTGTTCCATGTCCTGGTGGAAGATGTAGGGAGGGTTGCTGACGACCAGGTCCACAGGGCCCCAGGGCAAGTGTGTCCAGCTCCTTTCTGTCGTCAAAGAAGAGGACACACAGTAGGGACTAACCCATTGGGAGGTAAAGGATGGTAGCTCCCCCTGCCACTATGTCCCTCTTATCACGCCACACCTTGGGCCTGCCACTGGATCTGATAAGTCAGACCTGCAAATTAGTGCCCAGGGTCCTCAGCTGACAGCCTGGTGGAGGATGTGCATGCTTTAACATGGCAGCCCTTCATTTCAAGACACACAGTGTCCTTGCCAAAAATCCTCATTACACAAGACTCCGTTCAAGTGCCACTTCCAGGGTGTCCTTCCTGATTGCCTAGGCAGGAAAGAGCCTTTCTCTTCTGTAGCTTCACCAGCCTTATAGCCAACATGGACTGAGAGTACACAGAGGGTGGGCCTGGCCTCATCAGCCAATTCCTGATGGCTCTGACTACTGGTTTCACCCTGTGCCGGGTGCTACACCAAGTATATCACACTCCATAGAGGGGGCACATGAGGCTCAAGGATCCCATGGGTAAGGCAATGGAGCCAGAACTGGAGTTGGAGGCCCAGAGACACTGTAAAGGCTATGGCTGAGCTGTGCAGTGCCTGGATCGCTTCTTCCCAGGCCAGGCAGGGGGAGAGGGGCACTCAAGTATTTTGGTCCTGAAGGCATTATTTTAAGCTTTTGCTTATCTGTTGCCAACAAGCAAGCCCGTAACTCATTAGTTATGAGGAATTCATTGACCTGACCCTTATGGGTCAGGTCAGCCTAGGAGGCAAAAGCAACTTGTCTGTCCTCAGCCAAGGCTTCGTTTGAACTGCCACACACAACCACACACATACACACATTTGTGTGTGTTCATGTGTGTGGTTGTGTGGCTTTTGGGGAAGCCCTCCCTCCATGTCCGCGGAGTGCCTCATCCACCCAGCAGCACCTGTATCTAGTCTCCCTATGTTAAGGAACATTCAGGGGAGGGTACCTGAGGTCATGTCGAGGTGGATGATCCAAATCCTGTCCTGCAACTGAAGCCTAGATAGACAGGGAGAAAGGGGTGGGCACGGGGGCAGATCCCTACCCTTCACTACAAGAATGAGGTCTTGGGCCGGGCGCGGTGGCTCAAGCCTGTAATCCCAGCACTTTGGGAGGCCGAGACGGGCGGATCACGAGGTCAGGAGATCGAGACCATCCTGGCTAACACAGTGAAACCCCGTCTCTACTAAAAAATACAAAAAAAAAACCTAGCCGGGTGAGGTGGCGGGCGCCTGTAGTCCCAGCTACTCGGGAGGCTGAGGTCGGAGAATGGCGTAAACCCGGGAGGCAGAGCTTGCAGTGAGCTGAGATCTGGCCACTGCACTCCAGCCTGGGCGACAGAGCCAGACTCCATTTTCAAAAAAAAAAAACACAAAAGAATGAGGTCTTGTAGTCAACCTTTCTTGGACCGGCAAGATACTCATTGCCCACTACCCATTCAGAACCCCATGGGACCCATGCCAGGCTACCCCACTGCTTCCTCCTTCTTGGCAGGAGAAATCAGACATTAGTGAGTTTGAAACCTGAAAAGGAGTCAAGATCAGGCCCCAAAGTGCAACTCCCCCACCTACCTCTGAGCGTTCTCATGGGTCAGAGAGATGGCAGCTTCCCCCTTATCCACAGCAATGACTCGGCTCTGTCCCAAGAACAAACAGAGGATATGTGGAAGGCAATGCTGAGAGATGCTGGGAGATACTGGGCCTGGGAGACCCTCCTCCAACCCCCCACCAGAAGAGAAGGGAAATACCCAACAGCCTTTTCTTCTTGGCCAAAATCTAGCCAGATACATGTGGTAGGCATTAGAGTCTGTGAACCACAGTGGGCTAGGGGCAGCCCTGTCCTCCCTCATCTAGCTGCTTCCCCTCAAGTGCTCCTAGCAGAGGGATGTGGGGGAAGCACTAATGGGAGGGACAGTGAGTGTCAGTCGCAGTCTATCCAGAGTGGGTGGAGAGGCTCACCTGAGGGAGCTGGCTCAGCAGGCTGAGGGAGATGGCTCCCGATCCACAGCCTACCTCCAGAATGAGGGGGCTGCCTGGGGATCCCACAGCATAGGACCTCTGGGCCACCTCTTCCAGCACCCACTCAACCAGTTCCTGTGAAGCAGAGGGGTCTGGATCAGAGTTGGTGCCTGGGGGTGTTGGTACAGAGGCCTAAGCAGTTACTCCTGTGAATGTAGGAAGGGGAGGTAGCCAAAGCCAGACTAACCTTCATGTCAGCTAGGCCATGGCCAAGTCACCCTGCCCCTCCACGCCTCAGCTTCCCCATCTGTACAACTGAGCCCAGTTGAGGATAGCCCACCTCATGGGGATATGGTGGGGATTAAATGAGCTAATCCACACCTGTGTCATGTTAAGTGTTTAATCAACCCCAGTTAAGCCCTTTACAGACATCCTCCCATTCTTAGCATTTCTTAGCAGAAATGCTAAGAACTGGCTGGGCACAGTGGCTCACGCCTATAATCCCAACACTTTGTGAGACCAAGGTGGGCAGATCACTTGAGTTCGGAGTTTGAGACCAGCCTGGCCAACATGGTGAAACCTCGTCTCTGCTAAAAGTGCAAAAATTTGCCGGGCATGGGCATGGTGGCGGATTTCTCTAGTCCCAGCTACTTGGGAGGCTGAGGCGGGAGAACTGCTTAAGCCCGGGAGGTAGAGGTTGCGGTGGATCAGGATCGTGCCACTGCACTCCAGCCTGGGAGACAGAGCAACACTCCATCTCAAGAACTGTATCTGATAGTTCCTGGCCACTCCCTCTGGCCTGATCCTGCTCCCAGAGCTTTTCCTGTATTAATCTGTTAAATCCTCACAAGTGTCCCATGAGGAAACTGAGGCCTGGGGTCAAGGCCCCACCTGAGCCTAGCCTGTGGTTCATGGTGGCCAAGAATCAGGAGCTGGTGTGACAGAGCTGAGCTTGAGAGGCCCCAGGGAGGCTCCTAAGCCAAAGGGACAGGGAATTCCCTCCTTTGGAGAAGATGGGTCATGGGGGAACATGGTCCTGACTAAGGACCTGAGGGCTGTGGCATACACAGGCATAGCTCAACAGGCATGGGTGCAGAGGGAGGTGCCTGCCCTGGCAGCAGGAGGACATTTTCAGACATTGCCACTTTGGAAACAAGAGGGTTTCAAGCCTTGCCTACCCAGCCACTGCCTGCGAGGACTATGCCTGCAAACCAACATAGGGTAGGGGTGAAGGGTGGAAGGCTCCTACCGTCCAATGGCCAAAATGTTTCCCAGAGGGTCAGAACTCCTGGGACCCCAGGTCTCAGGAAAGACTGGCTCAGGGAGCTAGGGATGGTGGGCAGCAAGTGGGTGCTTCCCTGATCTGAAAAGAGGACCACCTTTTCCATAAAGCCTTCCTCAAGCCTGGGCCAGGCTCTACCATGGCTTTCCCCACCCTGAGCCTAAGGTCTAGCCTAACAATGCGGTGTGCCTCTCCCACCAGACTCCATAACAGGAAGACCTGAGGTCCGACTCATCGCAGTGTGTCCCACACTGGCAGGGCTTGGCCCACAGACAGACTTCTTGGCTACTTTCCTTTTTTTTGAGACAGAGTTTCGCTCTTGTTGCCCAGGCTGGAAGGCTGGAGTACAATGGCGCAATCTTGGCTCACCGCAACCTCCGCCTCCGTTTCAAGCGATTCGCCTGTCTCAGCCTTCCCGAGTAGCTGGGATTACAGGCATGCAACACCATGCCTGGCTAATTTTGTATTTTTAGTAGAGACAGGGTTTCTCCACGTTGGTCAGGCTGGTCTCGAACTCCCAACCTCAGGTGATCCGCCCACCTCGGACTCCCAAAGTGCTGGGATTACAGGTGTGAGCCATGGCGCCCGACCCTCTTGGCTACTTTCTAAGTGCTGGGCAAACTCTCTGTGGCACCACCCTCTGCGTCTCACACTGCCAGGTCTCCCCAACACCCCAATGCCATCAGCCTCACTCACACCCATTTTCCACATAAGTTCCCCAGTGCTGGGTTCCAAAAAGTATCTCACCCTTCCAGGCCCCCAACCCCAGCAACAATGTTCACCCACCCTGAGGATGGCAAGTCCAAGCCAGGCAGAACTTGGCCAGCAGGTGCAAACCTCCCTGTTCCAAGCCTCTTCTGCACCAAACAAACGATTGCCTGTGGGTGAGGGGGCCCAGCTCCAGCAGGAGAGGGCATATATTCACTAGCTCTCACCAGCCCTGTGCTAGGCACTACCGGAGACCACTAGGGTACTTGTGGCAATCTGGGCCTGCAGGGTTGGGACAGGTACAGAGTGAGCAGTGTAGGGTTGTGGCTGAGAGCCTGTGGTTTCAGTGGTGAGGCCACACGCTGAGAGGTTGGTAGGGTGAGCAGGACTTGTCAGGTGTTGAGCCTCTCTTGGTTTCCTGGCCATAGACCTACTCTGGCTGGGGAATGACCCCTCAGTCAGCCACACTGGCCAGTCACCTCACAGAGATACTCAAAGACCTCAAAGACACACACCACATATGTGGATGGCCACCTTGGGGAGGGTGAGAAGCTGAGAAACTGAGCCCCTGCCACCGCTAGTGGCCTCTTGCTTGCCATAATACTCCAGAGCACAGGAGGCTCATCTTGGTTGTAGGGCCACTTGGGGCAGGGATAGACAACAGCACAAGAAGTCCAGAAACTTTCTCTTCTCCGCCCAGTGAAGAGCCTCCCTCAGCCTGACGCTGGTGGCTCTTTCAGGGAGACTAAAAGCCAAGCTGGTCACAGGCTCAAGGCACCCCCTCCAGGTGAATATGGAAAGAATCCAAGAACAGGGTGGGGCGCAGGGGCATGCAGGAAGGAGGCGAGGGGCAGGCAGCTGTTGGCTCTGCCTAGAACTGCTGCCCCAACATGGACTTCATACCCCATCAAGAGGTTGGCCCAAGGCCTCAGCAGAACCTGAGCGCCCACAAGTACCCTCTCTTAGGATGGCATCCCTGGTGGAGCAGACCCAGGGAGGTGGCATTGCCTCCTTCGAGTCAATCACAGACAAAACACTGATCCTCCCACAACCTGTACAGCCTCACAGCAGGCCAGGTGAGAATGGTTCACACCCCCAGCCCTGAGTTTCCTACTGTACTCACTGCCAGGCCAGAAGCTGAACCACCTTCTCACCCCTAGGGAAAATCCAACTCACTGGGTCACATGCCTCCTGCAAGTTTGCACTTCAGACTCCTCCTTCATCAGACACCATCCTCTGCACCCATTCTCACCACTCCCTGCCACAGGCCACGTCCTCTTGAGTTCTTGGTAAGGCATCCCCCGATGTGGCTTTACACTGGGGTGAACCTGGTGAGTTCTCAGAAATGTCTGCACAGTGAGGTGAGCACTTGGCCTCCCAATCGCAGCATCTCCCCTCACCCCACCCCTTGCAGTAGAGCTGCTCTCTTGGCCCAGACCAATCTAAGAATCAGGGGCCACATGGGAGCCAAAGTCCACACTTGATACTCAGAACCCTGGCACATATGGCTGGTGCCAGGTCAGCTCTGAAGGAACTCAAAGGTCACCATGCCCTGACCCTGGGCAGCCGGAGACAGCAAATGATCTCTTCGCCAGAGATCACGTGTTTTTGGGAGCCACAGGAAAGCCTCCCAAGGCCTGCAGGTGGCAGGCCACACCTTGCTCTGGGTCTCCATACTGTGTCCTAGGTCATGCCAATCCCAGATAGGGGAGCCACCACGAGAGGGATGGGGCTCTGACTTGGGAGTCAGGAAGTCCAAGTGCTGCCCTCATGCTCCCTTCCTTGACAGCCCTGTGACTTCAGCAAGGCCTCAGATTCCCTACTGTCCCTGCCCTGACACTGGGCAGTGAAGCAAGGACCTGGCCTCCCAACCACATGACATGGAGGGGAGACGGGTCAGAGAGTTTCTTGGCTAGGGGACAGAAGCTGGGAAAGTGAAGGAAGGGTTTGGGGCCCCTGGCCACGGCAGGGGAATGGGAATCTTTCCCAGAAATGTTTGTGTGCTTGGGTCTTTCTAGAAACATTCCTTCTCAGAACGTGCCGCCCTCTGACTTGCCCACCAGCTCTCACTCAACTCTACTCCCTGGTCTGCACCCTCTGGCTCCCAGCTCTGCCACCTACAAAGTCAGAGGGGAGTCCAAGAAGGGCCATAGAAAGCGTCTCTTCCAGGACCAGGGTGCCTTACCAAGGGATAGCACACTTGCACCACACATCCCTAGTCCTAGTAATTTGAGGGACAACACGGGTGATTACCAGACCAGTCAGTAGACTAGATTCTCTGGTCTGGAGGCCTAACCCTCTCATCAACTGGGCCCAGAGAGGGCAGTAGGGCAGTGACCTGCCCGAGGTCACACAGCTGATACTAGGTCTCCAGGTGTCCGGCTGGAGCCCTCTCCACTTCCTCCATGCCTCCTGAGAAGCTGCTGGAGGACACTGTTCCCTGTGGGTTGGGTAAGCCATGGGACAGCTCCCAGAGAAACAGCGGAACAGTCTAAGTACTTGGGCAGCACTATTTGAGGCACTCTGGGACATTGCCAGACCTAGAGGCTGGGGTGGTAGCTTGGAACATGACAGTCAAGGGGACCAACAGGAATCCTGTCCTCTGGGCTCTGCCACCACAGACAGCGAGAAGATACATGTCTAGAAAGGCAATGTCCCTGAAGTCATGGGGCTCCAGTGCCCCCTGGAGGAAGCCTGGGGTAAGACCGGTACCCTGAACTCCACCCTCATCCTGATCCTGCCTTGCCCTGGTGGCACACCTACCTCTGTTTCTGGCCGAGGAATAAACACTGGGGGCACCATCCTCAGGCTGAGCCCCTGAAAGTCCCACTCTCCAAGGATGTACTGCACCGGCATCCTGCAGAGGGGGCAGCCGGGTGGTCATCATTGACAGAGCCAGGACCAACAGGACCATGCCTGGGTTGAGAGATACCACTTGTGGCCAAGGGTATCAGGCAAGACCATGTCTCCAGGGCCTTGGGACTCCTGAGGCAAAGCCTTCCCTCCCTCCCTTCTTCTATTCACTACCCCAGCCCCACTCTTGCCACCCCTGCACCCTAACACCTCCTTAGTCCTTGGACATTCTCCTCCTCCCTGAACTTGGTGGGGATAGGGGAAGCTGGACTGCTGCTCCCCAAACACATCCTTCAGGTCTGATCCATGGGTGCTCACCTCTGCAATCGGCGGCTACTCAGCTCCTGGATACACTGTAGTTGCTGAGAGGTCAAGGGCTGGGTCCAAAGTGCCGGCCTCAGGCTCTGAAACTGTCCCCACAGAGAATGTAAGTGGCTGGCTCACTGGGCCCAGGGGCCCCAACCCAGGTGTCTTATGTGGATAATGCCTGCCTAGCACTGGTCTGGAGGCCCAACGCTCTCATCATCTGGGCCCAGAGGGGGCAGCATCCTGCCCAAGGTTACACAGCTAATACCAGGCCTCCAGGTGTCTATCCCAGAACACTTAGGCAGAGATTTATTCATTCATCCAACAAACTGTTACAGTGTGTGCCAGGTGCTAAGACGTTCCTTCAGAAAAATCCCATCAGTCTCAGCTAAGAACTCTTAGTGAACAGAAAACCTGGATATCTCTTCCCAAAGTCCTCCCTCCTCCCTCTTCCTGTCCTCTTGACAACACTGAACTTAACTGTTTTGGCTCCAAGGACATGAGCCACGATGTACTCACTGGATTCCCGGGCCTCAGGGATACCTCTCTTCTCAAAGACCCTAGTCCAGTGGCTGACCAGTTCTGTGGCACTGGATAACCCAGCCAGAGGTGGTTGGGGTTGCCATGAGCTGAAGGCCCAGCCGAGGGTACTTCCCCCTCTCCCTGGGCCAGACAGGAGGGCCCACAGCATACGGCCCCAAAGCTCCATGTCTCAGGAAAAGGTTCTCCAGTGTGCTTCCAGGTTCCCAAGTCTGCCTTATGATGTCAGCAGCTGAGGTGGGTGCTGAGAGTGGCCCCTGGACCCAGCTGGGTGGAGATGGAGAGGTCACAAGTTCTGGTGCCCCAAAATGGCTCTGGTCCTCAGATATAGTTGGTTGCCACCCTGGGAGTGAAAGGAACCAGGAAAGCAGGTGAGCCTTGTATGACATCCTCCCTTCTACCAGTACATTGCCTGAGAATAGTTGTGCTCTTGCTGACACCCCCTTGACTCCATTTAGAGCCTCACCCACCTATCTGATCATTCTTGTCTTGGCCACTTATGTTTTCTTTTTTTTTTTTTTGAGACGGAGTCTCTCTCTGTCACCCAGGCTGGAGTGCAGTGGCCAGATCTCCGCTCACTGCAAGCTCCGTCTCCCGGGTCTACGCCATTCTCCTGCCTCAGCCTCCCGAGTAGCTGGGACTACAGGTGCCCGCTGCCTCGCCCAGTTAGTTTTTTGTATTTTTTTAGTAGAGATGGGGTTTCACCGTGTTAGCCAGGATGGTCTCGATCTCCTGACCTTGTGATCCACCCGTCTCGGCCTCCCAAAGTGCTGGGATTACAGGCTTGAGCCACCGCGCCCGGCCTGCCACTTATGTTTTCTTCACATTTTTAGCTGGAATGGGCTCAGCCTCTGCTAATAAATGGGTTGGTGGCAGGTTAGGGCACATATTTGGGGATAGGACAGATCTGTGTCTAACCTAGTGTGTGCGATCTTAAGCAAGTCATTATTTCTGAATTTCACTTTCTTAATCCGTAAGATGGGAGAAAATCACACCAAACCCATGGCAAGCAAAGCATTAGACTATGAATATCCAAGGCCTGGGAGGCAGCTCAACACACAGCAGAGACCAGATGTTACACGATCTTAACTGATGTTACAAGGGGCAGATGATTGCCTTTGATTGGGAGCTTTGAATCTGACATTTTGTGTGTACTGTCAAGGATTTATATGCTGAAAATTTCCTCCTAATTTAACCCATAATCCAGGACATTAGTGTAAACCGCCAACTAAAAAATTTACAATTTTATATTTAAAGATGTCACAAGCAAGTTTAACTGAAGGTTTAAAATCAGCGGTCCCCTTTGCTTCCAGTTAAAAGTCCAAACTAGCATTTATTGAGCACCTGCTAAGTGCCACATCTTCAAATACAAGTAGGGTCCGAGAAGGGAAGCGACTTGCCCAATGTCACTTAGGTAGAAACTGTCCCAGGTAAGCTGGGCGCAGTGGCTCACGCCTGTGTAATTCCAGCACTTTGGGAGGCCGAAGTGGGCGGATCACGAGGTCACGAGTTCCAGACCAGCCTGGCCAGCATAGTGAAACCCCGTCTCTACTAAAGATACAAAAAATTAGCCGGGCACGGTGGCGGGCCCCTGCAGCCCCAGCTACTCGGGAGGCTGGGGCAGGAGAATGGCGCGAACCTGGGAGGCGGAGCTTTGCACGTGAGCCGAGATTGCGCCACTGCACTCCAGCCTGGGCGACAGAGCAAGACTCTGCCTCAAAAAAAAAAAAAAAAAAAAATTAGCCGGGCATAGTGACGCGCGCCTGTAGTCCTAGCTACTCAGGAGGCTGAGGCAGGAGAATTGTTTGAACCTAGCAGGCAGAGGTTGCAGCGAGCCGAGGTCACGCCACTGCACTCCAGCCTGGGTGCCAGAGAGAGACTCCGTCTCCAAAAAAAGAAAAAAAAAAAAAGAGAGAGAGAGAAAAAGAAACTGTCCCAGGCAAGACACGAACCCGAGTCCACCAGACTCCAGAAGCGGCTCTGTGCACCAGTAAGCCGTCCCAGGAACCAAGGCCCGAAGTCAGAGGTGTAAATTCCCTCACAGCTATGCACTGCATTGTTAACGACCCAGACGGGGTCCCCTCCCTCCAACCCTGTTTCCCCATCTGCACTATGGAGAATGGGACCGGCCAGGTCTCCAGGCGGTTGCAGTCGAAACATCCCCTTCCGATCCCCACCTCCCGTGCATACCTGCCTGAGAGGCTCCCCACCCTCCCACCAGCCGGAGAAGCTGCCCCGTACTGAACGCCAGGACGTGCGTGGCCCGTCCCTCGCTCCCTTGGATGCCCCGCTTCCGGGGTTGGCGCATTTAAGAAAAGGCTCGGGCGGACGCCGTAGCCCAGCTTCAGGGTTCCCATCGCCTGTGGGTTCCTCCCAGGAGACCCCTGCGGATGGGTGGGGAGGCTGTGAATTCCACGCCCTCTACGCCCGCAGGCCTACATGCAGGAAAGTGCGGGGGATGTGTTTGGGGTTGACCCCTGGAGACCCGGACCTGCTGGTCTTCCTTAAAATCACATCAGGGATTTGGCTCCAGCCCAAGGGGATTGCTCCGAGCTGGCTTTTAGGAACCGAGCCTGGTAGGTGCGTGGGCAGAGCCCAGTAGCCTGCCGGAACGGAGGCGTGTCACCAAAGGGCCTGTGTGTTCGGGCGGGGACCAGATGTCCGGGGGCGTGGTCTATTTTAGCCGGGTGGAGCTGTGCGAAGGCGGGTTCCAGTGTTGAAGACAGGTCCAACTTGGGGGTCCAGTCCCAGTGTCGTGACCCTACCTAGGTCAGTGGCCGAGCCCACCAGGGGGCCGGCTGAGTGGCAGCCAGACCCCAGGGGCCACTCTTTTCCTGGTGCGAATCCTGACTCTATTTGGCAACTCATCAAGAGACTTTGTCCAGGTGTTGGGACCCCTCTGGACCTCAGTTGCGCCTTCTATAAAATACACGGCAGCGTCTCGCAAAGTGTGTCTTGTCAATATCCCCCCACCAGAATGTACTGTTAACTACCTTTTTTTTTTTTTTTTTTTTTTTTTTGAGACGGAGTTTCGCTCTTGTTGCCCAGGGTGAAGTACAATGGCGCGATCTCTGCTCACTGCAACCTCGGACTCCAGGTTCAAGCGATTCTCCAGCCTTAGTCTCCCAATTAGCTGGGATTACAGGCGTGAGCCAACACGACCGGCTAATTCTGTATTTTTAATAGAGACAGGGTTTCCCCATGTTGGTCAAGCTGGTCTCGAACTCCTGACCTTAGGTGATCCATTGCCTCGGCCTCTCAAAGTGCTGGGATTACAGGCGTGAGCCACCACGCCAGGCCTTAAACTATTAAACATGCTGTTTCCCTGGATCCTTCCCAGACCGGGAGACACAGGAGCGTTCGCATTTGTACCAGGCTACCCTGTGACCCCCATAAACTCCTTTGAAAACCGGCGGATTAGGAGTATCTGAGGGCTCCGGAGTATCTGAGGGCTCCTTCCCTGAGCTGATCATGCTGTGGATGGAAGCTATTGTAAGGGTATATGTAGACTTGCCTGGGTCGGGGTGCCCAATAATAAATCCGCCCCACTCTCAACTTCTCTGGACGAAGATTCCCCATTTCTAGCCCGGAGTTGGAGTCATTTGCCAAGAACCCTCACACCAGAGGACCCATCTGAGTAGAAAGTCAAGGTTCACGAAGGGAAAAGTAGTTTCTTCAAGGTCACAAAGTCAGCCAGAGTTCAGAGCAGGCCCAAGGACTCCCAGTCCACTGCTCTCCCCAAGTCTCCTCTGTACATCCGCGTTTTGGGGGCGTGAGTCTGCCCTGGCACGGGTAGCTGGCAGGGGTCCCGAGGTCTGGCCTGGGAAGGACCTAGCCACGTACGGTCCCCCGCCCAACTTCAGCGCAGGCCACGCAGTCAGGGGTACTCTCTAAAAACTGCAACCAGGCTCCAGGCTCCAGGCTCCCTCTGGGGGTGGAGCCAGACCCGAGCGACAAGCGAACAGTCCAATTCTGGGCGGGCTCTAGGCCCGACAGCCAATCGGGGACCGGGGGCGCGGAGCGTGCAGGGAGGCAAGGCGCTGTACTTCGGGGATCCCCCGAGGCTGCTCCGCCCGGCCCCACCCCCGCCGTGGGTCCCGGCCCTACCCACCCTGGCTCACCCACCCTGGCTCAGGCCGGCAGAGCCAGCGCTCGCAGCTGAGGCCGGTGCGCAGTAGCGGGCCTGGCCAGCGGCTCGGAGCTTGCAGGGAGGGTGGACCTCTGGTCGGACCCGCAGCCCCCGACGCCGGGCCTGGGGGTTCCCCCCGCCCCGGCCTCCTGCCAGTCACTACCACCCCTAGCCTCTCCAACTGAGCTCGGCGCCGGGAGAGGATTAAGTAAGTGCTGAGGTCGCTGCTCCTGTGCAAGAAGGGAGGCATCACAGGGTCGCGGAGGCGGGCATGGGGATTGGGGCAGGGAGGACTGAGAGACCTGGTGGAGAACGGCATGCGGGTTCTCAAAGGTCGCGGTGCCGACCCCTTTCGCCCCGGTTTCCTTCCCTTACCCTTTGGACCCTGAGGCAGGCCTGGAAAGTGGTCACCTAGTAGGGCCCCTTCTCTCCTTTGGGAGGCGATGTAAACAGAGCCCCAGAGTTAAGGGTTTGGCCCAAGGTCACGCCCGGGATCAGTTGCAAAACCAAGAAAAGAACCCGGGACTTGCTATGTGCCCAGCCTAGCTGGAGGGAGAAGGCAAAGAGGGATGAGCCTTTCTACCCCATAACCCTCTGCCAGCCTTGCCCCTTCCTCAGGGGCCACCAGAGGTGTGTACACACCTCACACACGTACATGCATCTGCACAGGGAGGCACCCCCACTAATGCCCATGAACCAGCACAGAAAGGGACGTGTGTACCCATGAGCTAGGTATCCTTCCTCTCCCTAGGCCGCCCCCTCTGCAGCTTGGCTGGGATCTCTTCCCACCCCACCTTAACCAGGGCCCTCTGCACTGGGCAAATCTCTCACCTTCTGCTTCCAGAGGAGGAGGGTAAAGGAAAAGAAGACACCCAAACTGGGAGCTCCATTCCTTCCTCGCCTTTCTTCTTGACCCTAGCAGCCCCTCTATTGTTGGTGGGTGGGAAGGGCAGTCCAATGTCCCCAAGAGCCTGCAGAGAAGCCCGGCCAAAGAACCAGAGCCTCTATCTCCTTCTTGTCTTCTGGTCTTTCCACATCAGCCTCCACCCACACTCCAAGCATAGTCTGGACCACACAGTGGACTGGGTCCAGGGGCTCCCATGTCTCCCCTTTGTGACTGGGTTGGCCATGGGGAGAAAATCTAACATGTAGTGGATTCTTACTGTGGATGGGGGTTGTGCTGAACTAAGTCTTTCTTTGAGACCTGTTTGTTCTGCCATTTCTGTAACCCCATGACCCTGTAGACTCAGGAAAACGGAGACACAGAGAGGTGGAGTGACTTTCCAGGGATCACTAGTTAAGCGGCTGAGCTAGGTTTCAAAGACAGGCTTGTCTGACTCTTGGGCAAGTGTTTCCCTCCAGGAAAGGAAAAAGCTGTGGTATTTTTTCCCCAAGCAGGATGAGGGATGTGGGAGGCAGGGAATGAGGCGGTGGATGTGGGGTGGTGGGGGATATGGGGACGCAGGTTGTGGGGAGTTTTTGATCAGGGGAGGGAGACATTTTCTTTCAAACATCCCTGCTGTCTTTCATATCTTCCAGGTTTGATCACTATGATCATCTTATCCACAGAGGATGCAGGGCTTCATTTTTGTTCCTAAAAACAGGGGTACCATAGATATGTAAATATGTGTCCTAATGCCTCCTGAACTTGCCCTCATCCTTGCCCTCAAACCTTTACCTCACCAATGCTTTCAGAACCTAGAGAGACTTCATCTCACTACGAGTCCCTGTCCTTAGCCTTATGTTTCTTATTCTTTCCTTTCTAGCACCCAGGAAGGCAGGGGGCTCCCTTTATCCAAGGAGGTGACTGTGCAGGTGGCCACCACAGGTGGCAAGAACCACAGGCTGGGGCACTCCGGAGTCAGGAGTGAGTGGGCAGGTTGACTGGCCTCAGGCAGCCTCTCAGCCAGGGCCCTCTCCGCGTCAGCATGAACTCCAGGACCGCATCTGCTAGGGGCTGGTTCAGCAGCCGCCCACCCACCTCTGAGTCTGACCTGGAACCTGCCACAGATGGGCCAGCCTCCGAGACCACTACCCTCAGCCCAGAGGCCACCACCTTTAATGACACCAGAATCCCTGATGCGGCTGGTGGCACGGCCGGCGTGGGTACCATGCTTCTGTCCTTTGGGATCATCACGGTGATAGGCCTGGCTGTGGCCATGGTGAGAGCTGGGGTAGACTGGGGGAGGATAATCAGTGTTTAGATTTATAGAGAACCTGTTCAATCAGAAGACAATCTGGTTGTTGTTGTTGTTGTTTTTGAGACAGAGTCTTGCTCTGTCATCCAGGCTAGAGTGCAATGGCTCGATCTTGGCTCACTGCAACCTCTACCTCCTGGGCTTAAGCGAGTCTGCTGCCTCAGCCTCCCAAGTAGCTGGGATTACAGGTGTGAGCTGCCATGCCTGGCTAATTTTTTGTACTTTTAGTAGAGATGGGATTTCGTTATGTTGGTCAGGCTGGTCTTGAACTCCTGGCCTCAAGTGATCTGCCCCCGTCAGCCTCCCAAAGTGCTGGAATTACAGGCATGAGCCTCTTCGCCCAGCCAACAATCTATTAATGAGAGTGCGGTCCTCCTCTCTCACAGAGATTTGTCCACTGGGGCCCAGAGACCAGAGACCAGAGACCAGAGAGGCAATGCTTCCAATTGGAAGAAACAGAAAAGGTTCTTGGGAATTACATGGTGTCTTGAGCTCGGTGGTGAAGGCCACATAGTAGTCAGGGAGTTCCAAGTGGAGGGTCCTGATGGGCAAAAGTTTGGAGGCAGACAGGAGGTTCTGTGAGCAGCCAGCAGGACAGTTAGGGCAGTGGGTATGGGGTTGCAATAGGAGAAGAGGCTTAAAGGTGGTTGATGTGGACTGTGGGCAGCAGAGTCTGGGTGAGCTGATCTGCACCTGGGAGGCTGTTGGCAGTGAACATTCATTTATTCACTTTACTGAGTGTACCTGCCCTGGACCAGGCCTTTGGGACCCAATAGAGGCTAGGAAGACAAGGTCCTGCCCTGTGGTTCTTACAGGAAGCGGGAAACATAAAAACCAAGGGTTCCAAGGGAAGCCTGCAGGGACTGACTTGGGGACTCAAGCAGGAAAGCAGGAGCTTTCCAGGCTGGGTGGTTAGGGACAGCTGAGAAGCAAAATTAGAGTTGAGATCTCAAAGTGCAAGCCTGGCCTCCGTGTCATGAGAAGGGGTGGAGGTGGCAGCCATCAGGAAGGATGGGGGCTGGGGAGAGGGCTGCAGGTATCATCCGGTAGTGAGTGTGACACCTCTTGATCTGGTGTCAGTCCCTAAGGATATGGACTGTCCCCCTAAGATGATACATGGACACTCAGAATGTCACTGAGGGACCACTGGAGATCGTGCAGGCTGAGACTAGGGAGGATGGGGTGCCCCTGAAGTTCCCCAGTGTGTCTGGCAATGGTAGGATTCTGCTCACTGCCCCTTGCAGGCTCTGATGGCTGGCCTTGGGCTCAGGAGCATGTTGCTCTGACAAGTAGGGCTGTGGATGGTCCATCATAGCCTGGTTGGAGCTGCTGTTAAACCAGGGTTGCCATATGGGCCCCACAGGCTCCAGATTGCTGCCAGGGAGCAACTGCCAGCCAGCAAGCAGGCCCAGGGTGCAGCATAGGCAGAATGAGGCCAGAGCCTGAGAGGTCTCCTGGGTGGGGGTAAGGCAGGATGCCAGTGTTTTCCCTTGGCACCCATGCAGTGGGTAAGCAGATGGAGGCACCCTTAAGGGCAAAATGGGGCCTAGAAACTGCCCTCTTTACTCTCAGTGAAAGGTTTTGTCCTTGGAACTTGAGAACGCTTTCTTACTCTTTGTTCTAGAGGAACATTCAGAAGGCCTGGGTGGATGGCCCGCTTGCCAAAATCAGAGAGGTAGGAAGCTCATAGGACAAAGGCAGTGGAGGGCAGAAGATAGCTCCTGGGGACTGCAGACAGGCCCAGAGGTGCTCACTAAGCGCTGCTTCCTCTCCCCGATGCCAGCCTCAAGGAGGGCTGTGGGTACAAGGAGGAGCAAATCTGCACCAGGCTTTCTGCCTTACCCAGGAGGGAAAAGTGCTTGGCACGGGCAGACCAGGATCAGTGGTGGGGGAGGTTCCTGGAGGAGGCGGGGCTGCACCTGCTGGACAGTGAAGGGTAGAGAAGATTTGGAAAGGAAGGTGTGGGGGTGGGTGTTAGCTGAGGAACAGGGGAAAAGGCATGGAAATTGGATAAAAGTTCTGGCCTTTTCTGTAGATCCTTCTGAATCCCAGGGTCTCAGGGGAGGGAGGAGGGCTTGGGGCAAGGGCTGAAAGGTGGGGACCGCAGAGGCTGGGGCTGGGGATGGATCCACTTGCTCATGGTGGCAGGGGCTGGGCCAGAAGATCCCAGAGTTCCTGTCACAGCCTACCCACAGGAGAGCAAGGGAGCACCCCTACGTGGGACCCTGAACAGGGGGGGAGAATGAGGATCGATACCCCAGTTTCTTTTCAGGTTTTGGGGGTTCTGCAGGAGGAGCTCTGGGCCAGGCTGGAAACCAAACCAGATTCAAGCTGTGAATGGGCCACAAAGAATGTGGGAGGATTTGGAGCAAACCACAGGGCTGTGCTTTCCCCCAGGCAGAGGTAGTCATGCTCCTGGTAGTCAGAAACTGCCAGTTTAGGGAAGAGCAGGATGATGGCAGAAGTCCCTGGATTCCCTACCCAAAGTGGTCCCACAAGTGTTACCCGCTTCCTTCCTCTCCTCAGTGCATTGTACAGGGTTTCTTGCTCTGACCTAGAGGTCCTAGATGTTTTCTCAGGCTGCCTAGGCCTTCATCTTTAAGGTTGTACATTGAGGGACCGGACCTCAGGGGTTCCTCTTGCATCAGAGCTTTGGGGGGTTGACCTGGGCTGATGCCTAGGGGCTGCGGTCCCCCACTCCTACCTTAGTCCACTGGGAGCCATCAGCCTCCCATAGGAACTCCAGAGACCACCAGCTCAGGGCCTTGCCTAGAGCCACTGCTCTACACACTACAGAGTCTGGCCACTGCCTGTCCCTGGTTCTTTTTGTTGTTGCTATAGAGATGGGGTGTCAGTATGTTGCCCAGGCTGGACTCGAACTTCTGGGCTCAAGAGATCCTCCTGCCTCAGACTCTTGAGTAACTGGGACTACAGGCACGCACCACCTTACCTGGTCCCTTTACTTTTTCCCTGCATGTGGCTTTGGGCCTGGGAAGAGTTGAGGGGAGGGTACGCGCTGAAGTCTTCCCTTTCGTCTTCAGTCCTGGGGAGCCACAGGTGGGTGCTGAGTGGCTGGAGCTACAGTTAGTATTGGCAGCTCAGCCAATAGGTGGGGCCCACCAGTCCCCAGGCTGGGCCTAACTGTGTGGGCTCCCAGGCTGGAGGGAGCCTCTGAGTCTCCAAACTCAGCCTGGGCACTGTCTGCAGCTACAATGTCAAAAGGAGGCATGGGGTGGGCGCGGGGGCTCACGCCTGCAATCCCAGCACTGTGGGAGGCCAAGGCGGGCTGATCACGAGGTCAGGAGTTCAAGACCAGCCTGGCCAACATGGTGAAACTCCATCTCTACTAAAATTACAAAAATTAGCCGGGTGTGGTGGTGCACGCCCTCCCAACTACTTGGGAGGCTGAGGCAGGAGAATCACTTGAACGCCGGAGTGGAGGTTGCAGTGAGCCAAGATTGTGCCACTGCACTCCAGCCTGGGTGACAGAGTGAGACTCTGTCTCAAAAAAAAAAAAAAAAAAAAAAGGAGGCATGAAGGTGAACGGGGGGGTGTATGTGTCATTAGGATGGGGACCCACGGGTCTCTTGTTCGTCAGCCTCAGCATGTCCCCATCCAGAAGGGCTGCTGGGTTCCTCAGGGCCTCCTCTCCTTGCCATTTGATGCTGCTCCTTCTCTTGCAGGTTTTGTACATCAGGAAGAAGAAGAGGTAATTCCCCACCCCAACCAAAATCCCAACCAAATCTCGAGCCCATGGGCAGTGCTGGGCTGGGCTCTGAAGGAAGTAGGTGAAAAGCTGATCAGGGAGTCAAGGCCTCTTCTGCCCATTCACAGTTGGGGGTGACCACTTTCCTTTGGGGAGGGTTGAGGGCCCCCCTCCCACAAGGATCTCACACACAGGGCAGGCAGGTGTCAGGATTCTAGATAACTGGGTATAACCCTGGGACTGGGGATGGGCAGGGAGGGGGAAGGCTGGGATTAGTCCCACCCAACTGCCCACTACCCTTGCCCTGCTGCTCTGAGCTGACTGCTACTGGCTCCCCAACCCCACCTGAGACTCAGACGCTATGGATTACAGCAAGGCCCTAACCTAGGTGATCCCTGTAGGGCCCATGGATAACAGCTACTTGGCCTATGGCCTTACCCTGGAGTGGATAACTGCTGCCTCCCTGGCTACCCATTTAAGGGATTGAGCTGGTATTATAGGTACAAAAATGTCTGTCATTTGTTCTCATTTCAAGGAAAATCTTAAGGCCCTAAGCATGGTTGTGTGCTATGGCTCAGCTAGTCAGCAGGCAAGGCCTGGAGGGCTGCTGGGAGGGGAAGGGCCTGCCCTGTCCCCAGCAGCCTTTGCCCCCATCCCCAGGCTGGAGAAGCTACGCCACCAGCTCATGCCCATGTACAACTTCGACCCCATGGAGGAACAAGATGAGTTGGAGCAGGAGCTGCTGGAACATGGGCGGGACGCCGCCTCTGTGCAGGCTGCCACTTCTGTGCAGGCCATGCAGGGCAAGGTGGGCACTGACCAGGCTCCCCACCCCGCCTGCAGCGTCCTTTGTCCTCCACCCTCACCCTCCCTCCTTTCTCATGCAGCTTTCTAGCACCTGCCTTCTGGTCAGATAGCAGGTATTGGGTACATGGCTTTTGCCAGATTTGTTCAGAAAGTGGTCAGATTGCTCTGGGGCCACACACAAACTCACAGCACAAGGCCAGGCCGAGGCAGTCCTGGGATCCAGCCTGGCTCGGCCCCATAGCCTGCTGATCTTGGGAGACCCACTGGCATCTCTGAGCCTCAGTGTTCTCATCCACAAGTGAAAATCCTAATTCTTGCCCCGTGTGCCCCCACATACTGGTTAGGAAAGTAGGAAAGGACTAATGGGGGAGATTGTTGGTGGCTAGGACCCCAGATTCCTCTGCTTCCTGAGAGTCCATGGCCCTGAGTGGGTTGTGGATGGGGTCAGACTCTTGGGCAGCAGTACCTCTGAGTAGGCTGGTGGATTCCCAGTAGCTGACAGACCCAGGCATGTGAAGACCCCAGCCAAACTTGCCTCCTGTGTCCAAAGGGATAGGTACCTGTGTGGCCATCCTGCTGTAGCCACTGGGCTGCCTGACCACTTGCTACCATTCCCCCAAATCCCCACGGGCCAGAGCACCATCAGCAGGCCTGACCTGCCCCTGACTCATCCAGCCTCTTTGCGTCTTCTTGGGCTCAGAAAGAATCCAGGCTGGGAGTCTGAAGACCCTTTGGTTTTGCCAAAGGTTCTGCATCACCTGGGTCAGGATATATTGCCCCCTTGGGATATTCAGGAACTCGCACTGAGAACCTTGGTCCACCCAGCCGCTGGGACTGCTGGTCACTTGACACTTGTTTCCCATGTTCCTCCCTGTGCCAGGCCCTGTGCTAGGGCTTGGGGGTACAGAGTCCTGCCCTCTGATCCCCTGGTGGGAAAAGGTGATGCCTGCGTAATTAAATCAACACAGTAAGTGCCTCCAAGGTGACAGGGCAAGCTAGGGAGGAGTCATCTGAGCAAGTAGTATTTCTAGGCTGAGCTTACAGGGAGGGCATTCCAGGCAGAAGCCATTGCTGGTGCCAAGCATAAGCAGGCACCAGGAAGTGAGGGTGGAGGTGACCAGGCCAGTGAATGCATGGCCTTGCCCATGGTCTCTGATGCCTCTGCCTGTCTTCCTGCAGACTACTCTGCCCTCCCAGGGCCCACTGCAGAGGCCCAGCCGGCTGGTGTTTACCGATGTGGCCAATGCCATCCATGCGTGAGTGGCCTGGGACAAGCCTGAACTTCTGATAGAGACCCGCCATGGTGCCCACAGAGCTCCCCACTCCCTGATTGTCAAGACCTACTCTGAGGACCTGCCCTGCCAAGACACGAGAGGGCCCTGCCAGGCCCCAGCTGTTCTCCAGACCCACCTGCTGACTCTAGGCTCTAAGAGAGGGCCCTGGCTGGGCTGGACTTCTGACCACTGACTTCTCCTGACCTGAGGGCCCTGGCACAAAGGGCATCCCTCATGCTGAGAAGGTCAAGAGCCTCTGCTGGCTTCCTCATCCCCTGTCCAGATCGCTCACATTAGGGTCTGCCCTGCTAACGTGGAGGAAATCGGGGGAGATACGGAGTGGGAGGGATTGGGGGAGGAAAGGGGAGGTTTCCCTCTGTTAGGGAAAGACCTGGTTTTTGGAATCTGGAGCCTCCTCTGGGGTGGGTAGAGGAAACCACCCAAGTTATAGGGACAGGGTAGGGCAGCACCTGTTATGGGCCCTGAGAAGCCCAGAGATGGAGCTGAAACTGCCCAGTATGCAAGGACGCCAGGAGAAGGACAGTTTATACCCAGGGTCCATCCATACTACAGAGGGTCCAGGAGGTCTCCCAGCCACCCATCCTTGGCAACCAGATGTTACTGGGGCCAAGCTAGGATGGGAGCTGAGGGGGAAGGAAGTAGGGGAACAGAAGTGGAAGGATGCAGCCCCCCAGACCTGCCGAGAGGCCTCATGCATGTGCATGAGTGTGCCCATGGGCAGACGTGCCTGTCCCAGCACAGAGGGCAGGATGAGATTGTCCACATTGGCCCCACCCTCCAAGTCGACCTGTACCCCATGGTATGTAGCGGAGCATCAGGGTAGGCTATCTTCTCTGCCTTCAGTCTTCAGGGACTGCCGGGAAGAGGGAAGCATGCACGGCAGGGTTTCTCTCTCCACCGCATTGCTTCACTGGGCTCACCTGCTTCTGAAAACGGCTCCGTGTCTTGGGCTCTACTGAGGATCTGGGGTTGGGAGAGGCTGTTGGTCGGAAGGCAGTAATCACAGGCTGCAGGCTAGAGGGGGCAGTTATGACTGCCTGAAATTGAGTGAGGGATTGCACCTCAGAAAAAGATCTAAAAAACCTAGTCTATGAATTTCCCACCTCCATCCCATCTATGGGAAGAGCCATTCAGTGTTTAGAGAGTGGGGAGATGGGTCCCTGCACTTGGCCTCTCCATAAGCCTTGGAGGGTCAGGGCTGATGTCAGGGGTCCTGGCAAGGCATTGGGCAGAGACAGACCCCAAGAGCGGAGCATCTTTTTACGCTGGACATACGTATACACACAAGCGTGCACAGAGGCATGTCCCGTGCCCAGCCTCTCCACCATCACTGTCCGCCGCTGGTTGGAGGGGCTGCAGGGGTAGTGTGTGCAGACCTTCCATTGGGCAAATGCCACGTGTCAGGAGGGAAGGGCCTAGGAAGCCCCCATGAAGAAGGTTCTGGATTTATTCCCTCCTCTAAATGCTATAAATATGTTAGCACTTGAGCCGACTGGAGGCTGCCAGGAATTCAGGATGCATACAGCTGTAATTTAACCCAGAGCAGCTCCATGTGAGAGCATTAAAGATGTAATGAAGATGTTTACATGGAGGGAGTGTGAGCCTGTGACACTTGGGGTGTGGAACCCCAGGAGGGGCAGGATGGGTGAGGGGCTGTCGGGGGCCTGGGGATAGTTGCTTGGATCACAGCTATGAGGTGGCAGCCCAGGTTTCTCTTGAGCCATCTGAGGAAATGCCTCTGGCCCTGACTTCAAAGTTGCCCTGGGGCTTGGGGTGCCAAGGCCTGCCACCCCCTAGGGTGGAAAGGTCAACTGGACAGGACCTTGTGGGACTAGGGGAGGAAGGAGGCTTGAGCCCCAAGGGCCCCGGGGGAGGTATGGCGCCTCAGGACCCATAGGAGCTGAGTCTGAAACACGAAAGGAAGCAAAACAGTGTCGCTTTTTCTGGGGCACGAGGGTACAGGGGAAGGGTGAGGGGTGGGAAGCCATTAGGGTCATCTGTGTGGAACCCACCTGCAGGGTTCAGAAGGGTTTGGGGGAGAATGACACTAGGGTGACCAGCCATCCTGCTTTACCCAGGACTATTCCAGTTTTAGCCCTGAAAGTCCCACAGACCAGAACTCTAAGTGACATCCAGGCCCTCCCCAGAGAACTGAGCCTGCAGGCCAGCGTCATGAAAATAAGGGGCAGGTGAGCCCCCCCACCCCCCCAGTTCCACGATGGAGGGCTGAGCTAGAGGAAGGGGCTGGCAGACAGGGCCTTAGGTGAGGGGAGGGCCACGTGCCCACGGACCAACCACACTGGGGTCACAGCTCAGCCTGTCAGCGATGGCCTTGATCTTTGGAAGAGGTCTCCTTCCCTCAACAGATTGGCAGGATTCTGGAGGGGCATGGAGTGAGAGGAGAGGTGGTGGTGGGCTGTGTCCTCCCTTCCTGTTGGGTGGCCCTTCAGCCCAGGGATGTGGGAGCTGCAGAAGACCCAGCGTCTGGGGGATCCTGAAGAAACGGGGCCTGTGGAGTAAGGCTGGCTTCCAGGGACCAGGACCTGGACAGTGGCTCCAGGAGGACCCCAGTGCCCATCCGCTCCTGCTGCCTGCCCCATGCCCCTCTCCTGCAGGGCGGGCTTGGCTAGACGATGTGCACACGGCAGCAGACTCTGGGTGCCAGGGCCCCTGTTCACACCTCTTGTGCCCTCACAGGCACCTTCTCCCCCATCCACCCACCTTCTCCTCTCTATCTCTTATTCCCAGTCCTTCAGGAAAACCAAGTTCCCAGGTCTTCCAGAGTGTGGGGTCAATAAATATTGGGATGAAATGTTCTGGTTGGCGTGTCCTCCTTGAGACCTTGAGCCTGGTGTGCTCACCACCCTCAGCCAGGCAGTGGAATGAGATGGAGTCACCTGCCTGCCTCACTGCTCCTGAAATTGACTGTTAAATGGACACCTTTGAGAAATGCCCCCTGCCCAACAATACACACACACACACACGCACACACACACACACTCTTCCATAAGTAAAACCCTTCCTTGGGAGTAGCAACCAGGGCTTGGGCTCAGAAGCTGGGCAGTTTGCGGTAGGTGGTATCTGAAGACGTGGCTTGGCGCCTTCAGAGGCCATCTTCTTGTTTAATAAAGTGAAATGTCACCTTTGAGCCAAAGTGAATGAAATAATCCCATTGCCTGGCTGCAGGCAGACACTAGGGATGCCTACAGAATATAAAGGAAAGTTCTTGTGGGGGAGGGCCCAGAAACTCCAGTACAGCAGCCTGACCTTGCTATGGATTCCTTCCAGAAACATTGCTAAGCGTCTATCATGAGCCTGGCATCACGGTCCTGAGGGTGAACCAACCTAGACTCTGCATTTCCATTCTAGATGGAGGAGACAGATGTCAAATAGGAAAACAGGTGTGTGCGTGTGTGTACACACATAACACACATTCTATAGGTCTATATGTCTCTATATGTACAGCTGTAGGAAAAAGAAGGTGGGGTGGGGGCAGGGTGTGCCTAGGGATTTTATAGGCTGAGGGCAGACACCCCCGCCCCATCCTGCCCAGCTGCACCCCTCAGCAGGCCTCAGTGTGGAGAGCCGTGGTCCATGATATCTGGGGGAACCCCAGGAGACGCTGTTTTGACATCCCCACACAACTTGTCCTCTGAGGACTCAGGACAGGGGGGCCTTAGTCACCCAGAGGACACTCTAAAAGGCCAGAGTTGCTGAGAGAAGAACAAGAAATGTGTAGACATCAGCTGCAGGAAAAGGAGGAAGGGAGGGGGAGAGCATGGAGACCCCTTAGGTGGGGTGGGACCAGGATGCCCTCCCACCTGGGCCTGGGTCTGCCTGTGGCACCTTCTGTCACCTCCCCTCGGCCCTCAAAGCTCCTTGGCAGCAATCCCCGCCCCTCACCCCAGGCGCTTTGGTGCTGCGAGTGGAAGATCAGGGCAGGTGTCAATGCTCCCCAGGAGCAACTCCCTGCCCCTCTGCCCCAACCTGAGGGAGCTGGGGGAAGGGCAGCAGGCATACAGGGAGGAACAAGAAGTGGGTGTCACCTCCCCCACCCCAGAGAAAACTCTAGGGCTTCAGCCCAGGAGAGGGTCTGTGGGGGAAGCAGAGAGGGAGGTGGAGCTGAGACCTACCTGGGAAGGTGGTTTCCTTTTCCCAGCCCCTGGCCTGGGGAAAGCAGTCTGTGTCAAAGAGACCTTCTGCTGGGTAGAGGAGGAGGACCTGCTTCTCAGGTCTGCCCTCAGCTTTGAAGAATCCCCCTGTCTCTCAGGGTTCTGCTGGGAAGGTGATCCTCTGGGAGCCTGGGGCCAAGGTTTCTGTCCGGGGATGTTACCCTGAACTCAAATCTGCTGACAGGGGAGGGAGGTCTAGACAACCTTTATTCTGAGGCCAGGGAGCCCCCTACCTGGCCTCACCCAGGGGATACCAAGGCCTTCAGTAAGCCAGGTCAGCTCTGATCAGTTGGTCACAGCCTGAGCCAGATGTTCACATTTTGGGCAAAATCTCAGGTAGCCCATCGTGCCATTTAACTTGAAAGCAAAGTGAAAAATCACACAGGGGCCTCCCTGGTGTCTCCCTCATGCAGAGTCCACAGGAGGAATTAAGCACTTTCGGTATGCTCAACCATGTGCTTGGAGGTGTGCTTGCTGCCCTTGAGAGCCAAGTCTGCTGGTCAGAGAAAGTGTGCTGACTGAGTTGCTCCCAACTCCAAGAGTTGCATTCAGGGAGGCCTGCCTGGAGGAGGCACAGGAGCAGCACCAGCCGCCTTCACTTTCTGCCTGACTCACCAGGACCTGGGTTGCAGGCCAGGATGTGGCAGCCTCTGCTGCCTATTCTGTGGGTGTGGTTGTGGTTATGACAGATGTGACACAGGCTGTCTAGCAGTGGAACAGAACAACAGACCCCAATGAGAAACATTCTCTACCCGTGGCATTTCCCAAGAAACCCAGTGGAGTGCTGCTCTCTCTTCCAGCAGGCACAGCAGCATCCAGGAGGTGCCACACTCCTGGCTGATCCTCCTGTGGCAGCAACACCAGCTTCCCTTCTCTGGGTCCGGGTCATGGCCCAGCAGAGCAGCCCCTCATTCCCAGCCTGGGAGACTCAATAACATAAAAGCCAGTCCCACCAAGGGGTGTTAAGAGGGCAGGTCACCAGTTAGAAGCCACCGGGCCTGGGCTGATGGATGGCCCCAGTGGGCCAGACCTGTAAGAGGTGCCCAGCCCCGTTTACCCATGAGGAACTGGGTGGTCAGAGGGGCTGAATGAAGTGTCCATGATTGCCCCACTGTGTGGGGCTTTGGAGCCCCATGCTGTCTGCTCTTCCCACAACACCAAGGGAGAAAGTGAAGTTGGCAGCCACTTGGCCCCTTACCACAGTTCTTGGTACCAACTTCAGGCTTGCCGTGGCTGAGGACTTTGGGGGCTGCAGAAGAAGATGGCCCCATGGTTCCAGCCTGGGTGAGTGGGCAGAGCGATGGGGAGGGGAGCTGGGGTGGAGGCTAGAGAAAGAGCAGGTCCTGGGCCATAGAGGGAGCAAGAAATGGGGGTGAGGAGGTTGTTCCTCGGGAGTCTCAAGGTTCAGGCCCCAGTCCTGGATTTGGCATGAACTGACCAAACCAGGAGGGAGGATCTGTTCCCTCCTCTGGCCCTCAGTTGACTCATTTGTTAAGTGGACAATGTAATCCTGCCCTTCTTTCTGCCCAGGCATGGGGAGGTGGGAGGCAGGAATTGGTCGGATAGGCTTTGAAAAGGGAAGGCCTAGGTGGAGCAGAGAAGGGGCTAGGGGCTGTCATCTGGGCCCACCTTCAGACTGGCCAAGCTCCAACAAGGCTCAGAGTCACTCAGTGCTTCCCCTTCACTGGGAACCTTGGAGAGACAGCCTGGCACAAAGACAACGATTCAGAGCTTCTCCAGCCACACCAAATATAACTGCTTCCCAGGCCCTGAAGTCTCCCAGGTCTAAAGTGAAGGACAAGGATTGTCTCTCAGCAGGGGACCTTGGAGGGGGGATTTGGATGAAGTCTCCTTGGGGACCTCATCTCTTTGATTTTGGAGAGGGCAGGGTGGTGGGTATGAGAAGGAGGCCTGCCTGATGGGTTCGTGGGCACCACCTCTGTCCGTATGTCCTAGTGACAGAAGGAGACACAGTTCAGCCAGTGGCTGGAGCTTGGGTAAAGCCTTGAGTCCAGCTGGAGGGGCTGGCAGGGCAGGGGCTTGGTGCGCCCTCCTGCCGGGGGTGCGCTCTTGCTGGAGGCCAAGGCAGGCGGGGGGCTGTCCCCTGTGCCAGAGCCATCAGCAGGGAAGGCACAGAGAACACATGAAGCCCCTGGCTTCAGGCTAACTTCATGGGGACTTTCCCTGGGACGTCCCTCACCTGTGGCTCTCCCTGATCCCTCAGGCTCCTCAGCATTGGCCCCTTCATCTTCACCTTCTCTTTGAATTTTGTCCTGGCCAATGTTCTCTCTTTACTCTAAATGAAGGCAAGTGCCTGGGCTGGTCTAAGCCCTGTCTGAGTCCCTAGTCCCCACTTGGACTTGAGCCCATGCCTGTCTTGAGCCTGGTACCCTGAGAGGGGCTGTCCACGGGAACTCTACTCCTACCCCACCGCACAGCACCTACTGCCTGCTGTGTACCCCCTCCCATCATCTCATTTAATCCCTGTGATAAACATTAGCCCCCTCTTATAGACAAAGCACAGGGGGACTCAGAGAAGCAGTGAGACTGGCTGTGCAGCTGCGAGGCACGGATGGCAGGTCACAAGGGCAGAGCTCGGGGAGAGCCTGAGCACAAGGCCGGCTCCCTGCACATAGCTGGCACCCAGGAATGCTACCAATTTCACAATCTTCCAGGCCATTTTCTAACTAAGTGGTCTTGCTCATGGAGATCCCTGTCAAAGAGATAGGACCCCTAACCTTGGTCCAGGTGCAGCGGATGAGGCACTCAGCAAATGGGACTCCCCAAACCTGGGCTCCTCAAAGAGCAGCAGAGCCCCTCACCCCAGGTAAGCCTCATCCTGACCACCTCTTGGCTGATCCTGGGACCCTAGAGCTCCCTCTTGGTTTACTACCCACCTTGAGGTTTCTTCCTGGCTATGGTTTCCCATGGCACCTTTCTGGACGCTAGTGGGATGGGGGCTGGTTTGAGAGTTCAGTCCAATTCTATCTACCTCGCCCAGGACATCTCTTATATGCTGAACTGAGAGCCCTGTAAGGTGGTTTTGCACACAGGCCCCTGTATCCCCAACCAGGAGTGGTGCCAGGCATGTATAACAATTCCATACATGAGGGCCGGGCGCGGTGGCTCAAGCCTGTAATCCCAGCACTTTGGGAGGCCGAGACGGGCGGATCACGAGGTCAGGAGATCGAGACCATCTTGGCTAACACGGTGAAACCCCGTCTCTACTAAAAAATACAAAAAACTAGCCGGGCGAGGTGACGGGCGCCTGTAGTCCCAGCTACTCGGGAGGCTGAGGCAGGAGAATGGCGTAAATCCAGGAGGCGGAGCTTGCAGTGAGCTGAGATCCGGCCACTGTACTCCAGCCTGGGCGACAGAGCAAGACTCCGTCTCAAAAAAACAAACAAAAAAAAATTCCATACATGCACTTCCAGGGGCTCCAGTCAACAACTCCGGAGAGCTGCCAGAAGGGCCTTGGTAGTGGGCCTTTGGCTACCTTGACGGCTAGAATCTGGTCCTAATAAGTTACCCTTGATTGGTGCAATCTGGCACCATCTCACTTTACTCTCAGTAGCCCCTGGGAGGGTATACGGCCACCCCTATTGCAGAGGAGGAGACCCAGCACCCAGAGACTGCGGGCATCA